ATGTTCACATTCTACATTGTTCTCATTGTTCTCAATGCTACAAAGTTCTAATTACAGGATGGTTGTTAGGTGTATGAATCATCTGCTTACAGGGCATAATTCTGGCATCTTATTCACGAGCGAATTGTGTGGCATAACCTGCATGTTGCAGTATACCTGGTTTTAGTCTATTTTCAACTAACAAACAGATGCCATTCCTGTGGCTCTAAGAGTATTTTATTTTAAAAGAAAATCTCGTGAATCACCTAACATCAGTTAGGTTCAGTTCAGTTAGTTAGCCGATGTTCAAGTGGCAAACGTTTTGTGGGCAGAATAGTGTGAAGTTGTTAACACTATATTGTCAGCAAGTTGACTCTATTGACGCTCAACTACATTCAGTGACTGATCTTTTGATCTTGATGACGCTTGTAGCAGAAATGAAATTAGGAAAAAGTTCCGGTTCCGGCTGACTGTTCCTGAATGGTTCCGGCCGGAACCGGAACTTTGAAAAATTGGGGATCTGGCCGGAGCCATGTTCTGGTGCATCCCTAATTTTGATGACACTTGTTACAGAAATAAAATTAGGAAAAAGTTTGGGTTCCGGCCGACTGTTCCTGAAGGGTTCCGGCCGGAACCGGAACTCTGAAAAATTGGGGATCCAAGTTCTGGTGCACCCCTAATTGCTAGTGTAATTATGAATGTTTCGTAAGCCATTTGTTGTTATGCATGCAATTGATCACAGAAATTAAACTAATAATGACAACCTAGCAACATGGCAACTTAACAACATTAATGGCACCATGTGTAACTTTGTTACAGACAATTGATAATAGCGGGGGTGAATAATGAGAGAGTGTTATTATTCACCCCTTATAATAGTTATAGCATATAGGTCTATGTATAAAAATTGGTATTTTTGAGCTTAGCTGACAGGGCCATATGCAGCTAGTAGATTAACATCTTTAGTTTTTAGCTCACCTTGACATCGTCAAGATGAGCTATTGCCATGGGTTGTCGTACGTCCATCCGTCCTTCCGTCAACATTTGGCTACGGTCAACGATAACTCAGGAACCGTTTGACCCACATGTTTGAAATTGGGTATAGTTGTTACTGCTATGGGAGAGGTTTGAACTTCCTATTTTGGAGCACGCCAGTCGACGTACTTTCGAGCCACTGCAATTTTTTGTCAAACATGGAAATTCCTACTAGTCAGTTCAGGTTCAATGGATTTTGCTAATTTTTGGTATGTGAATGAATAAGGGCTGGCTCCAAAACGTATTACAGGGGTTTTGATATTTAAAAAAATTTATTCAAATAAGGTAGTTTTGGCAATTATATAGCATATTATATAGACACGCAGATAACAGTCTGTGGTGTCACACTCGTCTGGTTTGTTTTACAAGATTGACAATATCTTTAATGCAAAATTGGTATTCCTATCCAACCTGCGATAAAACGTCTAATTAGAGTAAAGTTTTACCAAAACATGTCGGAACGCAGCATAACCTATTATTTCGAACGCCATCGGCAAGAAACATCAAAGCGGTATAGTGCCATCTACCGTCACAAATTGTGATTCATTTTGGTTTATAAATTATATTGCGATATACAGATGGCAATCGTTTCTATAATGTACGTCGATGGTTGCTCAATTAAAACTGACTTCTTCTCACTCACTCATTTGTGTTCTTTTTTGTGGTGAGCTACAGCGTCATTGACACTTTCATTTGTCATGTCATAACTCTTCCGTATAATTCACTATTCATTGTATTTTGCTGAACCCAGGCAGCAGGTGTAGTAAAAGGAGAAATAGCACCAGCTGTAGTGGCAGTAGCAGAAATAGCAGCACCACCACCAACAGAAGCAGCAGAAATAGCAGTAGCAACATTTGTTGTAGTAGCATTAGCATCAATCATAGCAGTAACAGCACAGCACTAACTGATAGGTGATCATTGATGCTTTGTGGCGCTAGTTAATAAGTAAGTATTAAGCAATAAGTGCATATTAATATAAATTGCATGAATACTCTAAAGTACTCCAATCCTGTCAGCAGAGCGTATTTTTACAAGAGGATATATATTGCAGGCTGGATTTGCTTCAGCTTGCCCTTACCTTGTCATGGGAATACTTCTCCAAATGGGAGGACACCTGGCGGATTGGATGTGTAAGCAAGGGACATTCACCACCACCCAAGTCAGAAAGATTTTCAACTGTGGAGGTAGTTTACTCTAAGGTTATAATATTAGTCGTATCGACATATGTATGATGTTGCTAACTGTAGATAGGGAAGTTTGATGCTTGATGAGCACTGTTCCGAATCTCCGATTTATGTATGCAATTTCATTTGCCTTGAACTTGTAGTGTGTGTTGCAGACACCTGTATTTCGTTTTTTTATACAAATTAAGGGTTTTACGTTTGGGTGCTTTCACAGCAAAACATTGCAAGAGATAATCACCTCCCATCTTTCTTCCCCCCACCCACCTGCGCAGCGTTCGTATCACAAGCACGGACCGCCGTAAACTGATCACCTCCGATCTTTCTCTTCCCGCCCTGCAGCGTTCGTATCACAAGCAGGGTCCGTGTAAACTGATCACCCTCCGATCTTTCTTCCCCCTCCCCACCTGCAGCGTTCGTATCACAAGCAGGGTCCGCGTAAACTGATCACCTCCGATCTTTCTACCCCCCCCCACCCCACGCGCAGCGTTGTAGTCACAAAGTAGGGTCCGCGTAAACTAATCACCTCCGATCTTTATCCCCCCCCACCCCACCTGCAGCATTCGAATCAGCAAGAGGGTCCGCATAAACTAATCACCTCCGATCTTTCACCCCTCCACCCCCCTGCACATTCGTATCACAAGCAGGGTCCGGTAAACTAATCACCTCCGATCTTTCCCCCCCCACCCCACTCGCAGCATTGTATCACAAGCAGGGTCCGCATAAACTAATCACCTCCGATCTTGCACCCTCACCCGCCACTGCCAGCATTCGTATCACAAAGCAGGGTCCGCGTAAACTAATCACCTCCGATCTTTATCCCCCCCCCCACCCACCTGCAGCATTCGTAATCACAAGCAGGGTCCGCATAAACTAATCCCCTCTGATCTTTCTCCCCCCCACCACCCCACCTGCAGCTATTCGATCACAGCAGAAGTTCCCCCAATAATCACCTCCCGATTCTTTTCCCCCCCCCCAACCTGCAGCGTTCGATATCATAAGCAGGCTCAGGTTAATAATCACCCTCTGATCTTGCTCCCCCCCCACCCCACGCCCAGCGTTCGTATCACAAGCAGCGTCCGATAACTAGATCACCCTCTGCATCCTTTCTCCCCCCCACCCACCCACCTGCAGCGTTCGTATCACAAGCAGGGTCCGTGTAAACTGATCACCTCCGATCTTTCTCTTCCCGCCCTGCAGCGTTCGTATCACAAGCAGGGTCCGTGTAAACTGATCACCTCCGATCTTTCTCTTCCCCCACCCATCTGCAGCGTTCGTATCACAAGCGCGCGTCCGTGTAAACTGATCACCTGCCCGATCTTTCTCTTCCGCCCACCTGCAGCGTTTGTACGCACCGGTGGTTATGATCCTGGCCGCTACTACGCGTGAGTCCGGCGGCCGCCTGTCACCTGCCTACTCGATCGCTGTCGTCGGCGGCTCGCCTGGGCGGGTCTTCGGCGTCATCATTCTCGACATCGCTCCGCAGGTACGTCCACGCGACGCACAGGGACGCGCCGACGGTGCCGGCCGAAAATCAATGGAACTCCCGATCGTCGCAGGGGCAGCGAGGCGCTAACTGGCTGTGAGAGTCGACTAGGCGTACCTCTGCGCGACCTGTGGGCTGTTTGTTCTTTAGGTGCCTAGGGCGCTAGCCGTGCCTGCGTGCCTTAGTGTGGCGTGACGTGCCGTAGTATGTCGTGCGGCGGGTGCCTAGTGGTGTGTGCGTGCTAGAGATAGTATGTGTGCGTTGCCTGAGATATGTGTGCGCTGCTGTGGCCTCGGGTGTGTGCGTGCCTTAGTATGTGTGGCGTGTGTGTGTGCGTGCCTAGTGTGTGTGCGTGCCTAGACGTATTGGAGACGGGTGTGCCTAGACGCGTGTGCCGTGCGTGCCTAGTGTGTGTGTCTGGGCGTTCACAGCTAAAAATGACTTTTTTATACCGAGAGCTCTTTTTGATTTTTGTAATGAAAAAAAGCTCGTCGTAATTTTTTTTACGAGCTTTATTGCTGTCGCGCAGAAGCTACTTTATTCATAGATGATTTTGTTAAAATCTTTCATATTTTTAGTGCACTGACTCCAAATTATATCATTCATCAGCACCTTCACGCACTCAGGCACGCAGTATCAGACTATCAGTGTAAAGAAATCGTCAACAACATTACATTTATCACATTCTTATCAATTTCATTCAACACAGATAGACATGCACTACAGCGGCTACACATAGTCAGGTAACAGGACAAAGACAGAAAATCAAAGAATTATAATCATAGCGTAATGCATGGTATGGTTATTTTCAAGGTTTCTTTTGTCTACTTCATTTAGCGTTTCTGTCAAAACTTACTTTTCAACTATCCTGTTACATGACTGGAGCAAGTTCAGAACTGTTCGAAGCAGTTTTTTAGTTTACTCTTGAGCTATGTTAAAAAAAGAATACGTGGAATCTCTAGGAATTGCCGGGAGCTTCTGGGTAGGTTTTACTTTTCGTTTGTCTTCCTCCCCAGTCCGTACCCATGCATAAATCAATTGCTGCCCGCACGATCGCCAAAGTTACAAGTGCCTAGAATCTTCTTTAAAGTATATACAGCGTTAATTGCTTCTAGCATATCTAACCCTGAATAAAAAGTTAGCTTTCTTACAAATCAGTGACGAATTCACGTTAACAGCTTGGTTACGTGCGTAGTCATGGTCACTGCGTCCGTGCCCTCACTCCCCACGATAATTAACCCTCGCGATATAAAACTATTGCTTAATGCGCTGAGCAAAAACTTGGTGGCCGGCGCGGCTCAGCCGGTCGCGAACTAATTTCCTAACGCTGCCGGCTGCCACGGGAGCGACATTTTTTCCTCGGTATGTTCCAAAGATTTTCGCTCTCGTAACTTGTTGTTACCAGAGCAGCCTTTGAACAGCTGACGGCGATGCGGAAATCGCTCGCCGCTCCCGTGTTTTTTTTCGCTGGTGTGCGTGCCTTGTGTGCGTGCGTGCCTAGTGTGTGTGTGCGTGCCTAGTGTGTGTGCGTGCCTAGTATGTGTGCGTGTGTGCCTAGCGTGTGTGCGTGCGTGCCTAGTGTGTGTGTGCGTGCCTAGTGTGTGTGCGTGCGTGCCCAGTGTGTGTGCGAGCCTAGTATGTGTGTGTGCGAGCCTACTATGTGTGCGTGCGTGCCAAGTGTGTGTGTGTGCGTGCCTAGTGTGTGCGTGCCTAGTATGTGTGCGTGTGTGTCTAGCGTGTGTGCGTGCGTGCCTAGTGTGTGTGTGTGCGTGCCTAGTGTGTGTGCGTGTCTAGTATGTGTGTGTGTGTGCCTAGCGTGACTTAATGCATACAGTGCGCTTGCAAGGGGATTGTAAGTGTTATATTAGTCGTGTGGTGAAGCTAATATGCTGAAGAGTACCTAATGGATATCAATTAGCTAATCTTGATATGGTGTTATTTTGGAATATTGAATGCGGGTACGTATTAATGTGTTGTAATCTCTATTGGTTCATGATATTTTGAGATTATTTCACATTTTTGTTATCAGTAAAATTGTTCATGAGTTGGTGTGCATTAAACGTAAATTTTAATTAAATGTAGTGAAGAAAATGTTATTGACATCGATAACAGATCAGATTTAAGTTAATTATGCATCACCTTTACTTTTATATAAAATGTAATAGTTGGTGATATCCCACATTATGATGTGAGGATGTTCGTGATGCAAAAGCTGTAATATATTTTGTTTTACTTTTAGTTTGCTAGCGTCCTGATGGGTCTATCAAACTGTTTTGCCACTATACCTGGTATCATCAGTCCAACAGTTACTGGTTATTTAGTCAAAGATAAGGTAAGTTTTCAGAATTCTAGCCTATATGGACTGGTGCTAGAGTTATGTGATAATAATTTCTCAAAGTGCATGATTTTGCATCTATACATTGCAAACACCATCCTAAACTCTATTCAAAACACCTTTCAGCTTTCTCAAGTTCCCGCACGCATACACTGCTGATTGTATAATGTGGTTGCTTTCACAGTCGCCTGGAGAGTGGCAGGTTGTCTTCTACATAGCAGCTGTAGTTTACGTCGTAGGAGCGGTGTTCTATGGCTTTTTTGGATCCGGTGAACGCCAGCAGTGGGCCGACGTACCAAACGGTTATAATCTTTGCGAAGAGCCGACCACTGAAGAAGTGCCGTATGGGAGCACCAACTAGGGACGTACGTCAACCTAGGCTGCTATATCGTGGAAGTAATTTCCAGGGAAGTCATTCCAATTTCTATCGTTCCATTTGTTGCCCCAGTAATGGCGTCACAACGCAGCACCTAATGCATTGTGGAAGTACGTGCTGACAAGTAAGATGTAATTGGGAAATATTGGTCAGCGTGATGCACGTTGCTAGCTATGACATCGTGTACCTGCTGAGTATTGAACAGGCACCTCAGTGCTGTTTGTCAGGTGGCAGGAAACCTGCTGCAGCGTATATCCATATATATGTGTAATAGTACAGTAATCTCACATGTTGTGTCGATGGGAGTAACTATGTAATGATTAGTAAGTAACACGTGAATGTATTTATGAGTCGTGCTGCCCCTACCCATTATCTAAGCGAAACCAAAACCAAGAAAGTGGACTTAACAAGCATAATTGCTACTCGCTAAATTTTCTGGAAAGATTTCGTAGAACTACAACTTTGCTATTGTGAACTTGTCATGCACGGGCAGCTTATTTGTGCTGATTGTATTTTCTCTGTTTGGCTAGCAATGCAGAAGACACGTTCTGTGACAGGCTAGTCGCTTCCAACTATATATATTTTGATATTATATATTTTGTGTCCGAGACAGTAAAATATATGTAAATGGTGCGAGAGAATGAATCGGTGAAACGTGCGGAATCTTGTAAAGATGTGCAGGGTGGCATGTCATAGCTGGATTATTATGGACCGCATCAGGCGTGGATCATATCAGGGATAAAAGTTTCTTGATCTGGATTTGAGAGCAAAATCCAAATGATTTGCAGCCCACTTCCAAATTACATTTATTATATATTTAGTAGATTTACGTCATATCTAATTCATCCAAATGGCCTATCTATGCACTTTTCATGCATTTATTTTTTACATTGGTTATGTCAGCTTTATTCAAAACGACCCAACGAACTCGAGGAGTATAAAAAAGTTGGTGAAATGGCCTATACGTGATATGTGCATATACTTGTTTTTACAAACATATTGGCATCTACTTAGTTTATTTATGCATGCACATAATTACTAGCTGTAATTCTGGCAGCTTGGTAACGTGATCAATCAAATGATTATAATTTCCGTTCGTATTTTATTGAAATCGGTTTTATTGCAAAATCCTTAAATGTTTCATCGGTTTGCCATATCAACTGAGGTCGTAGCAAGACGGGTTCTATTGGCATAGCTGCGAAGCAGACACCAGTTGCAACAAAATATGCTAACCGGCCTAGTACGGAAAGTTACGTTTTATCTAGTCACATTGAATGCTATCTAGTCTATGCTGTGCATTAGTTATAAAGCAGCAAACCACAGTGTACTACAGCCAGGCTGTACTGTGCCCCAGCACTGTTTACTTACAAAAGTCGACTTATATCGTTATATGTCGTGGATATTACGACTTCGAAAACCACTTGGCCTACAAAGCATTGACCTAATTTGATCCAATTTCCATCGATAAGAGCATGTTCTTATACACAGGCAGTGCTGTTATATGGCGATACTTCGTCATCATGCAGCTTGAAATCAGTCCAGCCAATAGATGCACATGACATGACATGACATGACATGATATGATATGACATATATGACATGATATGACATGATATGATATGATATGACATGATATGACATGATATGATATGACACGATATGGCATGATATGACATGACTGACATGATATGACATTACATGACATGACATGACATGTGTCCCTATTGGCAGTTGCATCGTGGCGTGTCGTTCCCACCTACAGGTTCATGTTCATTCTTACACGGGAGAAAGGTGAGGAGCATGTTTAACAGCTCTGCCCGCTACAATAGGGCACGCTCTGGTTGGTGAAAATCAATCAGAATTAGGTATAGGGTTAATGTGCTTAGCGGTTTTCTAAATAGTGCGATGCATGATACGTACAGTAGAAGATACGTATAGTGTATGGATACTTATTTTCTCGTCATGTTGGGTATTGTATTGGAAGAGATAATGGTCATGTATTTCGTCATTGCATGTTGTCCTGATTGAGGCTCCTAACTTAATGTTGGCGTTGTTTGCGATGGTGGTGCTTTCGTTATATGTTATTACGTATCTATATAAATTATTTACGTATGTTATTGTGTGGAATTTTTCTTCATGTGGCAGCTACAGTGAGTAACTATATGTAAAGAGGAGAGAATATATAGCGAAACCGTTATGAAGATGATTGGCACAGATTATATTCATAATTATATTTCTGTACAGTGTACGTACGTAGCACTTAACAAAAGTTGTGACTTGGGTACTGAGCTCATCGTGCCGGTATTTAAAGGAGGAATGCCGATGATGGCATTGACCCAATACGCAGTGGCTACGCTTCCGGTCATCCATTACAAAGCTCAGCACAGATTCCCAAATCCACGTCACGATTATGGCACGCATTTTATTTCAAATCGTTGATTTTACTTGATTTACTATTGCTTCAAAATTTACAAAAACACATTTTTTTGATAAAACACCTAAAGGTAAGTAATACTATGGTAAAAACTTATTGTTTATTGTTTTTTTACTGAAAAAATATAGTTGGGTTTCCATAAGAAATGTGTGACCGGACGCGTAGCCTGGCAGCTGGGCATCCGGTAACCGGATGCGTAGCCACGGCCTTATATGGCAAGGTGAGGCGCGTGAAAGTGCAACAGCACGGTCTGCTCCGACCTATTGTCGGAAATCTGATCGAATCATGTCAAAGTGTGATTGGCCCAGAAATTTTTCGAGAGGAACGAGACAGAACACACCTCTTTTAGCATCAAAATAAAGTTAAGAGTATAAAAAAATATAGATAAAGTCAAAATAGATATAGATAGGCATTCATGTTGCTTTCTGCGTGTGTATACAAGTATAGTTGGCATATATGATAGAATATGTGAAGAAATATGTGCTAACCAGGTAGTTAGAATAGCTATATGATATCAAGAGCGTATAAAGAAGGAGAGCGTACAACGGTGAAATGCTGAAACCATGTTGCAGTATTAGTCAAATTAATAAACTTTGCCCGTTTTATTTTGACGATTATTTGCAGTATTATTGATCAGCTGTCCTACCTTGTTAATATAAAACAAACCGTATGTCCCTACGATGCCTCTACGCTGAGATAATGAGCGGTGAAAATCTGGATATTTTGCCGAAAACCGACTCGAGATCAGTGTTTACTGCAACTGTCTCTCGTTTTGTGGACTGTATGTTGCTTCCGGTCGCCGCTGTGTAGCGCTGACTCGATACGTTATTACTACAGCGTTACTACATCCAGCGTAAGGGGCGGGTCATCACCATGGCGATAAATAACAAGACGTTTTTGTGGAGTAAGGGCTGCGTCAATGACTGGAAATGCGAGAAAAGATAGTAGAAGGAAAATAAATTTCATTGTCAATGAATGACGGCAACACGCGAGGTTACCCGAAGCTATCGCCAGAACGAGAGACAATTGCAGTAAACACGGACCTCGAGTCGGTTTTCGGCGAAAATACCAGATTTTCACCGCTCATTATCTCAGCGTAGAGGCACCGTAGGGACAAGCGGTTTATTTTATATTAGCAAGGTATAAAGGACAGCTGATCAATAATACCAAAAGGAATCGTCAAAATAAAACGGGCAAAGTTTATTAATTCGACTAATACTGCAGCAGGGTTTCAGCAGTTCACCGTTGTACGCTCTCCTTCTTTATATGCTCTTGATGATATTGTGACACTGAATTCATTATTTTAGTTATAATTTATTATATAAACCATGTTTTCGTCGCTTTCGGTTGTAACTCAGTGTGTGTCATGTGAATAGGGTTACTAGATACGTTACGACTACACATAACCCTTTTCACCTAAACCTTGCAGAACAGTCACGGTTATAAACGAGTTACTACCGCTGATAGGGTCTATGTCCCCCAGGCCAGGGTATCTGCCGAACGACCCTGGGTACGGTTCGTGTACTACCGGAACGTACCCTGGTACTAAATACCATTTCTAATATGCCGGACCTTACCTCGCCTATCCACTACCGAGTCTAGGGCCCGCCTACACCTACTCCTAACCGCAAAAGCCCAACCCTCAGCCCTAACTCCTAAACCTAACCCTAACCCTAACCGCTAACCCTAACACCTAACCATACATCTAGATAGTTACTAGGTACGTCCGGTATACCGGACCTACCAGGGTAGGTTCGGCAGTACCCTGGGGACATAGACCCTATGAAGCGTTACTACGAGTTGCCGCCAATCGTTCCAGCCAAATTTTTTATTGGTTTTAAAGATCTGCTCACTGGCGTCACGACTCTAAACAATGTATAAATGCTATGCGACGATAATTGAATGTCTGCATCTTACAGAAGTAACAAGTGAATGCTGCGCTACATTGCTGCCGTACGGGTTGATTTCTACATCAGACAAATCAATCATACTAATGTTAGCTGTAGACATTTGCGGCTATGCTTAGTATAGATGTTGAAATTTTGCTGTCGGCTCAGGCTTCTGAAATTTTGACAGTTCTGACAAATAACAAGCTTTTCTTCTCAACGCCAGTGAGTAGAGACGTAAGAGCATGACATTTTTTTAGACATAACTCCAATCGCGAGTCCGCCTGGAACTGATTTAAGAGAAGCCCGTTTTCCAACAGAGAAATAATTGGCTCCCTAACGCTTGCCGCAATATTTTCAGAGATTTCGCCTTTACTGAGATTGGCAATTAAAGTGCCCCGGTCGAAATTGCCTGCTGTGATTTGCATCTCAGGTCTAGTTCTGTATAGATCGATCATCCCGCTGTGTTT